AAACCGTTTTTTCTCCGGATATCGTGATTCTGAATAGGAGAACAAATGTATTGATATTAATACGGTTCTAAAGAGCAACATAACCGAGAAGAACACCCAAGAAACTCAGCCCGGCCTTTTCATCAAGTCTTATGAACTAATACATTTTTGTGAATTAACACGTCAACTGGCAATGTATTATACATATGAATACATAATACACCCCGCATTAATTCAAAAGCCTTCGAAACTATCCTCGTTAATGCCTAGTTCCCGATGCGATTCAGCTAGATATTTCCTCGAAAGATTTACCTACTTTAGAAGCTCTTGTGAGCGAATTTAAGAGAAGTCAGATGAAGCGAGTTAATTACCGTTTATGTTGAGTCATCAAACGGGCGCGAGTGCGATGCTCCACCGATCCACCTCGGAGCGCGACTTCGCTTCACCGCTTTTAATTAAACGCTAGGATAACCGTGTGAAGGGCTCATTCACGATGTACGCGGAATACAGTCGCATTGATTGTGCAGTGTTGGAGCCTAAATAATAAGCTGGAATTGCGTAATAGATAGCTTTGACTGTGCGGCTGACGTTTTGTGCGTTAACTATCAATTATTATTAGTAAACAATAGAACATCGTTAGTACTTCGTAATAAGATTGTATGATGCTTCTGAATTAACCTAAAGTCATTGATATATTAAAAATCTATTTTAGATTAAATACATTTACTACTCGGACAGGACTAGAACCGGCATTCAGACACACCTGCTTGCTATAACCAATTGAGCTACCGAGTACATTATAGCTAAATTGGTTAGAGAAACAGCGCGAAACGCTGTCGATGTCAGTTCTAAACTTGCCCGAGTCGTAATTTTTTTCAATTTATAATCCTATGTATGCGCCAGTATGTGCAATAACATGTAAAAATATTAAACTTTTCTAACCTTCCTTTTTCAATTCTAATTTTTAAAAATAACAAGCAAAAATTTTAATTCATAAAACTCTAGTACTAAGGAAACGAAGATGCTTTATTAAAATTCATCGTCGTCTCAACAGATCTTTGAAGTAAATCTTCCCTTACTAAAATAACACCGGAAGGATAAATTTCTTATTGCAGTGTAACTATCAGGTTAAGTATAAGAAAAGAAAATGCAATAAATAAATCACAAGCGATGCCTTCGTGCTCTCAGCTTGTGTAAGCCAATTACAGCGATGCGCTTCAAGGAAGCTAAGCAATTTCTAAATTCTTACTATACTTAATTTCAACTTAATTAGAGTATATCATAAAGCAAAAGAGATTTTGTTACTAGCCTAATTGTGGCAGTGAACATGGTCCGCTTTAATTTATTTCATATTAAAAATATGTTTTGAGACCGCAACAAGATTTTGTATGAGCACAAAATCTTGATAAACTAACAACTGGAGTCTGTCGCCATTTAAGGGTCAAAGTAGCCAAAATCCCATAAATGGTGTTGTATGAGACAGTAGGTGATCGCTCGAAATGATATGCGACTGTAACATTAATGTTAACAGACTGCCGTACATATTGAGGGCAGCTCAAGAATAGGTAGCCATTTGTTAAAATGTTCTAATGAATGATACAGGAAGCACGGCGCATGCGCAATGAAGTGTAGTGGAGATGAGATGCGTGGGCGCGCTCCCCGCCCGTGTATTTATTATTCGACAATTGTCTATTTGAACTTCGTGGATGCGAATGATTTATCAATGTAACAAGAAGTTGATTGTGCGTGACAATAATATTTAGTGAACACGAAATACACGTGATTTAGCTTAGCTAATGCCTTTAAGTCGTGATGGTGAACAATGATCTCTAATCATTTGTTCTCGGACATGGTGGGAGGTGCGGTATTTATGTCGTCTCGTGATTGGTAAGTTTTTCTGTCCGTGTATGTATCCGTATAAAAATGTACGAATGTGTGGCGTTTCGCGTGGGACGGAGCGATGCATTTTTTGCGAACTTAAGATGAGGAGCGAGGTTGTTGAACTTGTTCTCGGCCGCCGAATTGGCCTGCCTTTAAACATTACAGTTAATTGCATTTTTTGCTGGAACACACGCTCGATGTCTTGGCTATTCAGTATTATTTCAACTAAACATCTAATGGTATTGAATGACAGTGCTTCGTTACTCATACTTGAATGTTGAGTGAGTCGCGAGCGATGTTTGAACGTTGGCACGCAATGCGAGCACGCGGCCAATATTGACGAGCCAGCACATCTGTCGGCAGTTAGGGAACAGCTATAACACCTGTATATACCCGACGCGTACTGTATAGCATTAAAATTCAGATACGTTTTCCTAGTTCGCTGAATCATGAGTCTTAGGGCTTAACATTAACTAGAGACCACTTTCTATCAAAGAGTCGTCAAGAGCTGCTTAGTACTTTCTTTAAGGAAGAAACGGCACTGAAGTAGCTTAAGTCAACTTTTTAAATACTACAAAAGCGCTCTTTAATCGTTCCACTTGAACTTTATTAATAACTGCAGTTATTCTGTAAGACAGTTAGATTAAAATGACATTTTTCGTAACCCCCGATAGTCGTAACACGTTACAACATTTTTGTGGCTTCGAAACCTCTGAAAATTAAGTGTAGATAAATTGAATGCAAAAATTGACTACAATGCTGTTATTTCAATGTTACCACACTACGTGGTCTCCCTTTGTTGATTACACCGATAATAATCCTGATAACAAAATATAAGATTATAAGTGTATACAAATTGATTATACCTAGCTCATTCGTAAGTAACTCGGCTTCTTTTGTACATGGAAACGAATACAAGAAATGTTAACTAAATGAGATTTTTAAAATGTTACGCTCCGAGGCACACTTTACAAAAACATCACAATATCGTGATTGGAACCTGCATCCGCCTTTATGCATTCTACTTATAAAACGGTTTTTTAGTTATTTTTTTTTACTAGAATCGTAAATTAAGCTATTTTATGGCTCGCAATAGATTTTGTTCAGTACATTTAGTTATAGAAAAGCGATAAAAACTAAGTAGTTTAGAATTACATACATATTTAACAATTTAAGTTTGTTTTTAAATAAATTAACAAGACGGGTTTATTGGTCCAATAGTAACAATGTACGGAACCCAATCATATCTCTAAAATATACTCCGTTTTAGAATCTGGCCATTGAATGGGTGGTACAAAAAGGTAATTCCATCTAAATATGAACTACCGTCCATGAATTTAAAAAAAAATGAGAAATTTGTTTGTATACGGATTCTTGTTTATGGATTTCCGAATATCCAAAACCAAAATAACTCTGCATCTAAGTTATAAAAAAAAAAACCTAAATTTTGAATCTGCTAATAAACAAATAATATTAATACAGACGGGCTTGTTGGTGTAATGGTAGCAATTTATATAGAAATGGACGGGTCAAAGGGTGTGGGGCCGTGGGTTCAATCCAACGGATCAAACATTTTTCTAATCAATCATCAAACATCGTCCGTAAATTGAGATAATTTAAAAAGTAGATATTAGTGAATATCTAAAACGTCCTCCGGGTCACGGACCACCGTTTACAGATGCTAGAAGCCGTGGATTTCCAACATCTGAAGCCAAAATAGGTCGACAGCGCAATTTCTAGATGTTATATGGTTGAGGTATTTTACGTGAACCCATGCTTGTTGGTTTTCTTCTATCATACAATAAGTCATCAAGTTAACGATGGTAAAAATAAAATAGGCCTTTGCATTCACAGTCAATATATTATCTAACATAATAAAACCGTGTCGTGCGCCAGGCTTAATAAAGTTCTCGTTTGTTATTCTGTTTGAGCGGACTTTGCTATCATAGATTGTTTTGGGAAATGTCTTGGAGAGATGTGTTTGCATTTCTTGTCGTGACTTGTTTTCGCCGAATGTTTCACTTGCTTGAATATTAAACACACGCGTGATAACACCAGAATTCGGCTTTTGTTATTCAATTCGAGGGTAGATATAACTTACAAAAGAAATAAAGGTGATTACCCGCCGTAAAATTAACTCTTTTATCTATTTATAGTGTCGAAATGAAATATTCACATAATTACTTTAGATGTTCATTTTATCAAAGACAAAATCCCTTTTCATATTTGAAATTTTTTTAAGTTATGAAATAAAGTTTAATAAACGTAGTTTACGCAAGCGGTACACATTTAATAAAACACTTAATTGTACCAAGTAAGTTTTAGATAATTACTATGGCCCAATGTTTCAGATGCTTTCGAAAGCATTCGAAATGACAGTTCTCTTTAAAAATCAATTTAAAAAATATACCTATATAGGTATGTATTATATTAAGGTTTTAAACCGTTAAAAATGTTTTATTTAATTAAGTATTTTCCTTAAACGACGTTGGCTAGACTGCAGATTGTGTGAGTCAGAACTTAAGTCAATTGTTCCCATTTTAAATCTAGTGCATATTGCGAAGCGATCGTGCTGGACGGGTCACGACTCGAGCACAAACCCGTTCCTTAGCGCACTTTCACCGGTCTTCGCCGGGGAGACAGCGCCGGCGCCTCTGTCTTTCTCGTTTGCACACTATCGTTGCACTCTTCAGATTGCCGATATACAGTATGCGCACCCTACCCGAATATAAAAACGCGAATCGATAATGTTAACCCTAATTTTATAATATCGCATAAGTTTTCGGTAATATTTGTGCAGCTTTAAATTTAGTATCCATTTTTTAAGGAAGATATTTGTAGACTAAGTAAAGACATAATACGACAATCAACGGGGAGGACGGAAGTGTGGCTGCGGCGAAAAGCTCGCACGAGGAGAAAGGAAGCGGCGCGCCGCGACCTGATAAGCTAGGCCGGTGTCTATTTTATAAATGCAACTATTGTCTATCGCCCATGATTTTATTTCAAATCATAAAAATAATAAAATTTCACAGTAACAGCGACTTGAAAAGTAAACTACACTAATCAAGACGCCGTTATGAAAACAAAACCGTTTGAATAATACAATGATTTGTCTAATGAAAACAATAAAATTGTTAAGTTTATGAAATTGGTCCTATTGTGGAGGGGTGCGGCGATCTCGGGGAGGGCACGAGGGGGTGTGGAGGTGCGCGGCGTGCGGGGTGCGCGCGCAGGGGCACCCCGCGCTCTCCACTGCCCGTCAGTCGCCCGCCGACTCTGCTTGTGCTTGTGTGACTCGCGCCGCTCTGTGCACCGCACTCGTGCCCCGAACACGACGCGTGCCGCCTCGCTCTGGCGAACGCGACCTGTACGCTACCGGCGATTCGTTTGTCTTAACTTTGTGCGACTTGATATGATTTGACTTTGGACGTTACAAACACTCCCTTACCCGGCTTGTTTATCCCTCATCATGTAAGTGTTGTATTTTATCTGATATTCGTTTTAAACGTCGAATTCGGAACTCGCGAAGTGCACCGTGAAAGTTTGTGGAAATAGTGAAACGTCCTTATTTCGTGTATATGCGTGCCTGCGTAAGTCCGATAGTGGTTTTGAGGGGAAGTGGTTTTAATGAATCGGACGGTTTCCGAAATTCGACGAATATTCGAAATAAGCTTGAATAGTTTCGGTAAGGACCTAGCGGTGTCCCGCATGAGGGCTTTTGCAAATTAGTTGGACCTGTTTCGTGCGAGCGTCGCTCGCGCCTGCACGAGGCGGAGGGTACGAAAGTTGAAAGCTTTCATCGATATTGGCAATAACGTAAAAGTTCGCTAAGTAGAAATGCCTCTTCTAATCCTATAATGTTAACGGAACTACGTCTCGTGACGGCATATATGCGTCTATAAGCGTACTACAAGATTTAAACTCTGTGAATTCTTGCATACTTTCCGTACTTAACTTTGTCCTTACATAATCAACTCGACTAATGCTTCATCCAATACTTAGCTTACTTACTTCCTGTCAATGCGCTTATCGCCAGATACCTTATCTTATCTGTGAGATAAAACTTCCAGATTTTAAAGTATACATTGTAAACATGAACATATTAAGATCACGCAGAAAATGATCAACATTGTTTAGTTTATAGTTTGATTTAATAGTTAACTTTTAAAATACCTAGTAATTCTATGTGAAATAACTCCTAACGCCTAAAAAAGACGCGTTCAAATATTACTGTTGTAGTAAAACGGTGCATGTGTTAATTTTTAAAATTCTCATATTTGAATTAAGGTTCACAATGGTACCTTCCAGCTAAGGGTAACAGCTGGCTTGGCTACCTGCTCCTAACAATAAACCGTCTATCAGCGAAGGGCTCCCCGTTATTATTTTTTATTTACTAATCTGAAAAGCACGTAGAAACAAAGAGAATACTTGGCGGATTTATGATACAATAACTTTAATATAACATTAAATCATTTGTACTAGTTTTCGCATCCACATTGTCCGCGTTAGAATACGACATAATTTTTAGTAGGTATTTAACATAAATATATTCTATATACCTTTTTATTAAACGAACGGACAGCAGCTTTTTTATTACTTAAAAGAGTAGGATTCAACGGAAGGAACCAAATAGCTAACAGAAATACGTTTTTATAATTGACAAAAACAATTTTATATCCGTTCTATAATATCTATTTGACGAATGAAAATCCTCTTAAAAGTAGTCTTATGTGGGTACTAACAAAAATTGGGTTGTTTGAATGTTACTAGTTCTTTCTGGAATCTAAAATTGCAGTGCCACAAAATGTAACGGCTAAATGATATCAGAATTATCTTATCTCTATAAATAAACGCACATGACACACCTGTCCAATTTGCAGATTAAAACGAAATTAATCATAGATAAAAAACGGTAATTTTTATCTGTGGCAGTGGAATATTTTACAATAAATACTGCATCACAATCGTCTTGAGGCAAATAGCGTCTTAATATTTTATTCCAATAACTAGTTTTTACTTAACACTGGTTAGCCAAGAGTGCGTGCTCAAATGTGTGTTGCGCCATACAAAAGCGCATAGCCACACCGATATAATTCCAGGAAAACAAACCGCAGGCAATAATTTCAAGTTTTCCTTACAGCGTTTATTATCTCGCACTCCCGCGTCGGGCGTTGCGTTTATTTTTACGTTTTGCCGATGCGATCAGTTTAATGTCCTCGCACAATCGTGCCGGGTCCCGGGCCTCCTCGATAAGACCTGCACATTAATGGGGCGCTGCAGCGATAGCGCCGGAGTCGTGTAATTTTCGCCTCGTAAATTTTAAGCCGTCGCAAATTTTTCGCCTCTCCCGCTAATTACGAGTCTGCAGGCGTCCCCGAAGGCAGCTTAATGCACTTCGTACACGTCCCGAATGCTCGAGCAGGGCTGGCTCGATCTGCACACGTAACAATGGCCTTTGTTTTGACTGCCGGAACTGACCTACGTGCTCGGCTAATCATTCACTTCGTTTTGCTCATTGTTTGCACAGATTACAAAAATCGCTAGACGAATATTGCGCTACTGTTATTAATAAAACCTTAATTCACCTTTTATCGCGCTTATCGAAACGAAATGCCGATCGAATTCAATTTCCAAGCATACGAAACAATGTTTATGTATCCTTTATGAACTTTGTTTCTGAATTGATCATTTGAAAAAACCTGCCCCGAACCACGCTCCACCGGCCAATATATGACTGTGCAGAATAACAAATGTTAAATCGGTGACATCACTTGCGAGTCACATCACATCGGATCGAAGCACGTCCTCATCTCGAATTTCAACCTTCACTCCTCGTATATAAAGGTCACGATCCTTTACCGCGAACGTTATTATAAACATGACTGAATTCGACAGAAATATCACATTTAAATATTAAATTTACCTCGTTGACTGCGTTACACTTTAAATGGTATTCGTAATAGTGGTAATTATTTACATTACAATGTGTTGCCAGCAGAGCTCTGGACTATTTATTGTATATATTAATTGTATGAAAGTATATTGGAATTCATATCGACCGTTATATAAAGCTCTGCGGTTCAGCCCGATACAAATGAGAACACATTTCAATAACTAAACAGGCTATAACCTCTGAGATGGGTTACATCAACAATGATCTCGGAACATGGGGAAACTGTCAGATAAAAGAACATTAATCAACCGTGGAATACGGCTTAAAAGGTCCAAAATGTACGAACAACTTTTGCACAAGAAACGTCGATTTTAATCTAATAATTAATTAAAGCTATTAAAACTTTAGCGGCACTTTGTTTGTAATTAAATGTATACATATGGTATTAAATTTCGTTATATTTCAAAGAGATCCTTTAGCTATACTTTTCAAACATAGGATTACTAAGAAATAATAATTCGTTCATCACTGATTTTTAGCGGCTGTATCGAGCTGGAGTTAAATATATTTGGCATATAAAACCGTAGTGTTTTTATAAGTCTGCTAGGCTGAAGCGACGAAGCGAGACACGGCTGCTACCCAAGGTCATCTCCTGCCTGTGTCAACCCATTTTCCGCCTTATTACTGGCTGGCCTTGCAACCGAACACTTTTTATCTTTCGGACTACGCAATGCTCCATTTGACAATAGCCATTTCCAGTCTAGATAACAGAATTCGAGATAACAAAGGGAACTTAACTAACCACTCTAAATTTAATTCACTTCGCTCTGCCACAAACTTTTTGATTCAGTACAACAAGGTAAAATGTCTTGCTAACAATTCCTTGTATTGAAATCCCGTCGCAATATTTAGGTCTTCGAAAATGTCTTGATGAATGACTCATTGTCTTAAAAACGGTCTCATTTACTTAATGTTTAACCTCAACCCAATTGGTGTTGCACTAATTCTTACGATTTCAATACTAAGACCTTCGTAATTTTATCACTGATACATTCTCTTTACGGTCTATCGATTGCAATGTAATATTTTTTGCAGCTAAGTAAATAAATACATAGTCGTAGTAATTGTTTCAATGTAATTATTATTTGATAACATCGCCACGTTCAATAATTATATGGAGCGTGTTATATCGTGTGTAGATTGTTTAACCTTTTCGAATTAATTTATTAATTAGTTCTGAAAACACTCGAATCCGATACGTTTGAAACCGAGGTTAATCAGAGGGAAAATTTTATCCTTTACGATACAGCGTTTACTCATTAAACACGTTATAATTTTGTTTAATAGACCTGAATGATTCTATTACTTGGCTAATATAGAATACGTTTGACTATTTGCAATAGTGTAGGTAGTGATCGCTTTTAAAATATATAGATCTTTGATTTATATTTTAACTGCGGTTGAAATTTGAGCAATTAGAATATATATTTTAAGCTTTATTCAAGTGGTTGTTTTCTCAATAAAAAAAACGATATTATTTCCTGTAATAATACTTAACAAAGGCGTCGTTTAGCACGAGAAGTCATAGTTTCGAATTCCAAGTAAATAAATCATTTAGGTCGAGCTGATCAAAGAATGATCAACTACTTGTCTCTAAATAAATTACAAATGTGTTTGCGCCTTATGCCATGGGAAAAGAAATTCGAAGTTTTCATTTATAACTTCCATAATTCAGGCATAAGCTGTCAAATTTATCATCACAGATACAACAAAGAACCGGCACATTAACGTTAAATTCTTATATAAAAAATCTGTTTTTTATTATAAAAATACTTGACATCATTGCAACAGCAGCCACGTCACGCCACAGACTGCAAATGTCGCGTAAAGTTCAATCATGAGTCGGAAACAAGTGAAAGGTGCGGTAGAGTGAACTGCACTGTGCATTCATTTGACAATAAGACGTGTCAAGCTGGGAATCGATGCATTCTGTTCACTATAGTGTTCCAAGTTACCACTATTCTCTCATCTTAAGGATCCACAGACAACGATTAGGAGTTATGAGTACCTGCTTAAAAACTTGGTCTTTACAAGCTTCTTAAGATTGTTACATATGTAATTCATAATCGTTTTTCGTGATTAGGTCGATAAATACTAAGATAATTGAGTTTCTCTGTCAAAGGTAGTGTGGATCTATAAGAAACATCAACCCATATTAAATTTGTGTCCTTAACTTATTCTTAAAACATACTGTACAAATTTTATGTTTAAATAATATTTAAAAAGGCATTGAGTGTCTTTTATTAACAATGTCTGTTCCTAAAAAGAACATTTTAAAAGAATGTTATAAATTGTTGCTAACACGAGATGCTTATAAGTTACCATTTACAATCTTCGGCTTTAAGTGACATTTGACGCGTGCTAAATAAAATTAGTTTTCTTTTACATACTTATATATTTTATTTTATATAGGTTTACAATCATACCACAGAATAAAACAGAACAAGTAAAACGTATTAACTTATAAATAAAACGCGGTCTTTAAGCTTCGCTAAGCAGCGATCTCTTCCAGGCAACCCGAAGTACAGTAGAAAAGACTTATTAAGTGGGTAGGTGTGGGAATAATAAGCACGAGCAAAGGTACATACTAAAAGTATACACAACAAGTGGGAGAAAAGTTGTATATTTACCATCTCAGCTTAAAGTTTTTTTTAAGTAATCCTGGATTAGAATTCAACCGAAACACCTAGACAGAGTGATGTTTTTATCAGCTCAAACGGACAGATTTATTATTTTCTTATGCCAAGTTGAGACAAACGAACGAACACTATTTTCACAAGTTACATTTTTTACTAAGTAATGTAAAAATAAGCGAAAGAATTAGTCTGATAAATGTTTTATTTCAATTTTTTCTTTATTTACGCAGTGTTCTTATAATAGAAGAAGAAGAAGAAGAGATAATTTTTGATGCAATCAGTTGTGAAACTTTTGTAAACACTTTGTGTTAGGAGGATGTAGGATTAACCCAAATTCTTGCTTTAATGATATTGTCTTTTGTTAAATGAATGCAATCAAAATAAAGATACCATTTAAGCGACGCTATTCCGCATTCTAATTGTCTTGATAGCTCAGAGGTGAGAGCGCCCACCCAGACGGTGGGTGACCCAGGTTCGAATCCCGGTCAAGACCGCGGATGCCGGGCGAGCGTCGCACAGCGGAAAATCGTTGATTACTATTTTGAACTCTGCCGCATCCTTTGCGGATCTATTAAGCATTCATGATAAATACCTCGATAGGGACTAGATCGAATTTTCATGCACAAAGGAATCGGGCCCCGACTGTTTTTTCTCCACCCTTTCCACCCTACGCCCGACCGCTCTCACGAGATTCTTATTTAGATTCGCTTCCGTCTGATTGCTCTCGGTAATCTTTTCACTAGATTATTGAATGTCTTCTCCGTGCGTGTCGCAGGAACCCACCGGCGATATCCTTTGGTGCCGCCATTCTCGATTCCTTGTTTAGTGCTCGAAATAAAACGATGTCCATTTGCTTTGAGCGCGCTTAGTTATGTGCACTCTAAGGATTACTTTTCCGATGTGCATTCGTTGCCGTCTTTGAAAATCCACGAATCCAAAGATGTTTTTACGATAGATTTCGTTTGTGAATAAACTCGGCACTTGAAATGGATATTCGCGTGTATACTACGGAAATGTTCTGTAAGAACAGGTTATAGGATTACAGAGATTGGCATAGTATAATATAATTACTGTGTGCTAGTAGGTAGATAAATTAAGGGACGTTTTACATTTTACTTTTTAGTAAGTACACGGTCTCAGCCATTAACAAAAGCTTAATAAATTAAAAGCAGTGAATTTTTAAAACGTATTTTGCAAGAATATTTAGTGGGATATCTCTCAACTTCGAACATGAACGCTGTCAGAACTGGCGTGCCGGGAGATAAAAACACCGCTGCATTTACATCAAAAATAAAATTTGTAGATTATGCACGGTGTCGGGCGCGTCGGTGCGTTGCCGCACACCGGGGCTATTTTCAACTGGGTTATGCTTTAAATAGCACATTACGATAGGATTTGGTTTCACAAGTTTTTCCCTCTTCACGGCCTGAGGCCGTCGCGATTCGGTCGGCGCCCACGCACACTACTTTTCCACCGCTTCGCACCTCTAACACTCATTTTTATTGAGCAACATGTTTATGCTATTTACATATACATTTTAGTGACACAGTTCGGCGTGTCTACGGATATTTTATGTGGTAATTATTTACGTTACTCGTGAGTCGCCGCTTTGGTGGGCAGATGTATTTGGAACCGCCTTGCGGATGTTATTATTGGTGCGACACCTGTCCAAAACGTGCGCACCACACTTCTCACCTGTCACCATGCCATCTCCTAAACATGCAACAGTAACGTAAATATCTGTGGCAATCTGTGCCTTCAGATTTCTACTAACGAGAGAACTAATCTAAAGACATGTTAATTCACCTACAAAACCATTGAATGTAGAACAAAACTGTCAACAAATTACAAAGATATAGGCGGACAATAAAATTATTCAGATTTATTTTACTGGCTTCATGTGTAAATGAATAATGTTAAGAGTACATATAAAATATTAAATAGGTATATGAATTACAATACAATTGATAATAATGTTCCATTATATTAAAATTAAGACAGTTGCCACAATTCACCCGAATTCGCAAGTTCACTGAGAATTAAATGGTTAGTCGAGTACGCCAAACAATTGGTGGTTAATTTGCATTATTTAATAAGATGTTCTTCATGCTAACACCATAAGTACAGCGCGGGCCCTAGGACGCCCTACGCGCGCTTGCTAACCCGGTAGCCGCTTACGCTTGGCTCCGGGGCGAAGTGCCCGGAGAATAACCATTGTGTTTTGTTGTTCGCAGAGTTGAGCCCCGCACCGCACCGGCTTTCGCTGACCGCCGAGCTGCTAACTAAGCTTTTCCGCGCCCCACCGTCGCCCGCCCAGAACCCTCACCGGCCGCTGCCGCTATGCTCGCGCACCAAGCACCGCTCGCCCTCTACTAAAATCAACCGTCAACATCGATACGAACGCGTGTGATACTATTTTAATACTTGCCTAATTAAGCTTGCAACTTCGGTGTCTTTCTAACTTAATTGTAAGATTCATTATTTGTAAATTAATAATCTGCGTGCGCGCGTACCTCGCCGCGAGTGCCGTCAGTGTCGTGAGAAGTGTACGCTAGGAGCGCGCGGGCGCGCTCAGTCTTCGCCGCCTATGCGCCGCACTCGTTCTGCGTAACTGTGCGCGTCTATTCCCTACGACTACGATAGCAACGATGGCAACCATGGTGAACATGAACAGCCTCCTCAACGGAAAAGACTCTCGCTGGCTCCAGCTCGAAGTGTGCCGGGAGTACCAAAGGAATAAGTGCTCGCGACCCGACAACGAGTGCAAGTTTGCGCACCCCCCGACGACCGTTGAAGTGCAGAATGGAAGAGTCACTGCCTGTTACGACAGCATCAAGGTAAGATAAGATAATGTTTATTTATTAATAAAATATATTCTGTGATTCTCATTATGGAAAAAGTGCCTCGTGTAGGGTGTGATTTTAGCGTAATTCTTCGTTCTAGATTTTTCTTTAATAACCAATGCACATATCTGTCAAAAAATCTAACTTTTAACATGGAACCCGAGGCCTTTTCACAAGTACACATATGCTTAGGACTATCTTTGTTAACTTTTAACAATACATACATGAATTTTCCTTAAATTTATAACTGTTTATGGCAACATATACTGCCGCCATTTCGCGCACCGACCTCAATTCCAAGGCTAGCCTGAAATGACGTCACCCGCCCCAATGTAGTTGCCATCGTCCACTATTGTATGGGAATTGGCATCGAGCTAATATAATGAACAGGACAATGACTTGGCGGCGCCTTGACTTCTTATAGTCTTATGGCACATAAAATTCTTGATACAATTACATGCTAATCGTTGACATTTGCCAGCTTGCTTCCCGGGGCCGTAGCCAAGTTATTAATAAAAATAATATAGAAGTTGAAAGGGACATAAGTTTTCTTTATGCCATAGAGACTAAGCATAAGTACATAATATCATTGTCATACATATAGGTCCTATCGTTTCATAGTTGTTGAGTTATAAATAAATAATCAATATCTATTACAACCTATTCGCTGTATATTTATTTTGTGTTATCAATAAAAAAAACAAGCGATAACTAGTTGATATAACGGAGAATATTTTTTCTTTATTTAAGTGGTCTAATGAAATAAGTTATAAAATTATTATAGATATGACTTAAGTAGGAAAGGTCTTAGTCAAGAAAAATCTTAAAAATGAAGCTTGTAATAAGCAGACACGATATGGTAAAAGTTAAAGGCTTGCGTTTTAAAGACAAGATTCGATTCTATTGAAGCCATTGTACAGCTGTAAAATACTGCTAATTAAAATGCACGTCTAGACTGCAATTGTACGCAAAAAGTACTTCATTCGTAAGTGGTAAATGATCTTTAAAACAAAAGAATCACAACATAAAAGACACTCTCGTTTCTTAATATTTCCCTTCGTATTTTCCTTTGATGCTCGGCTGAATAACGCGATCAAGAGATAAAGTCGCTGTGGGCTCCGCTCGCGCTACAAAGACACCCTCTCATGCGCTCGATCGCTCCTTAATACATTCATACGCAAACCTTTAAAAATTACCTCTCGCTGACACCGTCGCCCAATACATTACCTTATAAAACGAAACTGAAGTGCGTGGGCGAGTGGCAAATGTTGGGAAATTAAATGTCCGTTTCACCTTAACCTTTAAGTAATCGAACCTTCGTCACAGATACGACGCGGATGCCATTCGCTGTAATGCATTTCCTCTATCAGAACACCACGCCGTCGCAATACAATATTTCTCTGAACTTAGGTAAAATTCAGTTTGAAAACTGATAGAATCTCGCTTCTGATACGTTTGAAGTTCAGCGTCGTAATTCGCTTAAAGCCAGCGACGTGTTTAGTCCGAGACGTTAAACAATGGGAGAATGGACTTGCATTGTGCTGGCTTTGTGCATCGTGGTATCACACGTCCCATACAATGAGGATGCCTGTACTACCATAAGCTTATCTTCCTTTTCAGACGCCGTTTTCTATCTTCCGTGAAACCATATTACATCTTTCTCTTTGCTTCTCTTGCATGAAGTGTTTGTTATATTCACGTTCTCGTGAATTTGTTCTTTCCGCCTTTGCTAGGTCGGTTCGCGTAAAGCAACGAGATGTGATCAAACGAAATCTCCCTACCCGCATCCGTGTCGTGTCGCGCGAAACGTCTCCCGTGATTAAGCCTTCAATTACCCAATATGACGAGGGGGTCATATTTGATTAGGCTACGTGTTGTGTTGATTAAACCGAGCTTATTGCCTTATCCACTTTGCTTCACCTACGCGGAGCGATCTTCGAATGCTGGGAACCGGATTTCGCAATATTTGCTTTATAGGTTATGCGCGACTATTAGCTTCGTCGGTCAATAGCTCGAAATATTCATGAGTCATTTGATATGGATTTATAAACGACGCCAGTGATAAATGTATGGTCGACCCACTCATTTTGTTGTCGGATTGTTAAGTAAGAGATTAGCTGCTTTACTTATTACACAGTAGATAATCGGATTTTAAATAAAGAAGACGAATCTAAATAAGACAAAATTAATTTTTTTTAATTGTCAGAAATTAACAGTTCAAGAAACCTAGACGTCTGTATTATATTAACAGTCACACAATATGGAAATTGTACATATAAAAAGTTGAATAAGTCTATACAGTAGTATGTGGGCGCTGACATTTCTGTTGTGAAAGTTGACCTATGGTCTTACAAAGCGCCAACACTGCCTTGTCTGTTGCATTATAAGCACGTCGATTTTATCTTTACTAATTAGTAAAGATAAAAATCATATTTGCTTATATTACATACACCTATAAAGGTATATAATAATAATTCGACTTCAAGGTAATCTATTCGCAATATTATCTATAATATTATTATATTGTTTTTTCTTAGTTACTAAAAAATCTTTGAAAAACAAAATGAGAAACTTTAAAGCAATATTAGATTTCTCAGGCACCTATAGAGATCTCTAAATGGTATTTTAATGTAGAAAATATTATGTACTAATAATGACTTATTACACATTCAAAACCTGTGACAAGGCAACATTATCCCACTCAGTTTGTTCCAAAATACATTGTTGATGTGGACTCGCCCACACATTCACTTTCATCATGTCGAGTTTTAAAAGTAGACTATTCCTAATCGATAACGACATATGAATTGCGATTCTTTAATGCAATTCACACATTCTTAACCGGGGTATATTGATGTTAACTTTTAAACGAGGGGGATATATTTTTGTATCCTTATTAATCTTCCATTCTTCACCAAATACTTTTTATGTTTGACTGCGACTCAATTCCACGACCTCTTGCTTTAAGCTATTGATCTACGCAGAATACACGTACCGTTTACTCTGAGCAATTATTTTATAAATAAGTATTTATCGCTACCGATCGCTTGCTCTCGATTGAACCCAATATTTCATAGTAACGTTTCAAAGCAGATAACAAACCAGTTTTCCTGTTACGTGTTTCATTATTCCACAAAGCATTACCACAACGCTGATCACGGAGCGCTTTTAAAGAAATAATTGGCAGAACTTCCGTCAGGCGACTAAAAAGCTTTCGTCTCTGTTATGTCAAAAGAGTAAAACTAACTTAAGTATTGCTTACAAATCGATAGCAAAGGCTACAGGCCGCTCGAATGTTTTAGAGGCCGCGCCGTCGGCTAAGTGCTTCGTGGAATATTTGGAGCGTTTAAAAGCCGCCAGTAATCTGGACTTGCGCTTTGTTCCGTGTGGTGGAATCGTTTCGTTGTGAACTTTGCGACCGGGCGCGTGCCTGCCCCGCGTCGATTGATGCCTCCGCACTGTTCGCGCTTGTTCAATGACTTGGTCGCACGAAAGTCAAACGTCTAGTTTCGATCTATTATTACAGCGTACGGTTGCTACCTTGAAGCGATGCGTTATATCTGTGAGATATGTTTACACGGTGTTTCTAAATTTTCAGCTAGCTGAGCGGCAAATCAACGGCAAGTGATTTTGTCCGTCTTAGAGGTCCTAACGAGAAAAGTAGATTTTAATAAACGAACTGCGAAACGATTCTTTAAAATTCCATTAATTAATTTTTAAAGTTAATATTTTGACATAATTCAATTTTACATCGAATATTTAATACGTATCACATTTTTAATGATAACATTTTCAAATAGAAAAACATATACATATGTTCGCCCTTTTAAATTACTATAGTTTTAAAATTTACTACTTGTTAAAACCTCCTAAGTTTACGTATAAGATAGTGGTTCTATATCCAGGGAGTGTAGCATAGAACCAAAATTTCCAGCTTCATCCGACATTGTCTAAGCCGGCTCGAATCGGAGGTAGTTAAGTAGACGCGACCGAGACACTGGGCGCTATTCGAATGGCCGTTACGTGATTCAATATACGTATATGAGAGGCTCTGTCTATTCAGTCTCCATGCCGTTCACTGACTGCATTATGAAGACACGTTATTAACGTCACGAGTCTCCCGTTATTAAAAGCGGCTATTAGAATGGAGGCGCACACGATCTTGCAGAGAATAGGCAGATAAATTACATACTTTAATATGCTCTGATTGCAGTATAAACAATAATAATTAAGAAGCCGTTTGGAAATGTTCATTAATTTTGCGCAACGCGAGCGATCTTGTGGTTCGTGGCGTGCCATCGTTTTTATTAGTTAAAAAATCACTTAATCTGACCTGGATTGAACGGAAGCGTGCTTCAAATAATTGCTGCAAAAATTGTCGTGTTCGATTCTAATTGTACGAGGGTGTTGATTTCTCCGTCTTTATTTCCGTGATGTAAACAAGACGGGAAAATATGCATTTGACTACAGGCATTATATTGTTTTATTGCAAACAATAACAATATGATTAGATCTATTAGCACATACAATGCATGTGGGTATGATAAACTACACACAAGAATAATGTTTGGAAGGAACTATTTTAAATACTGTCTATAGTTTACGCGAGTAGTACACATTTAAATAAAACACTTTAACGGTTTAAAACGCGATATATTAGTTGAACTTATTTGAAAATATCCCCGTCTCCACGTCACGAAGGTCTCCCCGTAACCACGGCTGCTGCAAAGCATCCGAAACGTCGGGCCGAAGTTAAAAATCATTTTCAAATAAGGAACTATTTTATTAAATTATTTGAACGAATAGGTAATATACCTAATAGATGTTATAACTTATTTTCAATTATATCTCAATAAATGTAATTTATCTTCCTAATAGGTACTAGGTATTTCAAAGGGTTATTAATGGAGTAAAGAATACAAATCTAACAAGGTTTTCGAATATAAATAAATATAATAGTTAGTTTGAGCGCTGATTGCACGTTACGTATATGA